TTGCTCTTTACTGGTTCCCATTGATATCGTTCTTACTCCGCCGCTGTTTGAGATGTTGTTTTAATTTCGATGAGCAAATAAGTTAATGAAAAAAAGTTGTTCTAATTTGATAATGAAAATGGTGATATTTTATATGAAAGGTTTGAAGTTTGAGCTCAAAGATTACTCCATTGCTAAATTTCGTTTAAAAAATTCTTTTTTTCTAAATCACAATGTTTTTGTTAATTGTTCTTGCATCATACGTAAAAATGTGCGGTTTATGTTTTATTCTCAATCTGATCTACCATCGATGTGTGATCCTCATTGATCGCACTGTTTTTCTAACAGTGGAACCACTCATCACAAGTTGTTGTTTTTGATTCCAATGTTAGTAATCCATGGCCTTCTTTTGAATTTTGTGAACCTCACTATTGGCAGCTTACAAATTCTTGTTATGCTCTCTGATTTTTATTCTATTTTTGGAGAATTATTATCTTTGATATTGATATTTCAAAATTGCTTGTTGTTTTTTGAAGAACTTGCCTCAGTTTTGTACTTCGACATGTTGGAAAGTTTCCAACCCAGTCTCAATCTTTGCTGCTATTTGTATTTTTTGAGAATTATTTTTGCAGAAATCGTTTTTTAAACTTCAGTTTTCATGCTTTATGACACGTTCAAATAGATTTTAGATTTCAATATATTGTTTCTTGCACCGTAAAATTGTGAAAAATCGTTCTAAAAGGGCTCGTTTTAAAGTTTCAACTTATTAATTGTGTAAAACAACAATCTTATCGAACAACCTAGCATAATTTATCTTGAGTTTATGGCTGCTGTGAAAAATTCAACCTCGATTTTGTAATTATATTTTTTTTAATTTTATTGAATACGCTCTTCACATTCCTTACAAACGAAGAAAAACATACAGTTATACACAAACTGACCATAAGATCAGATCATCATGCAGTTCAGGTCTAATCCTTTGAAGTGAAAAAAATAATAATGATAAATAAAAATAATCAAAAATAAAAATAAATAAAAATAAAAACGAAAATAAGTAATATAATTAGTAAAAATACAATGTAATCTTATCTTATATATAAAGCTGAATGTCTGTTTGTATGTCTGTCTGTATGTATGTCTGTATGTATGTATGTATGTACGTATGTTCCGAATAGAAAATTCCATTTCTGAACCGATCCGGACCAAACTTGGCACACATACACTACGGGCCCCGGCGGGTGTCATAGGCTACTTTTCGTCATCGATCGATATCGATTTTATCGATTTTTATCGATTTTTTTGCTGAGTTCACCTACGGGGCTGGGAGTTGGCACAGGGGGGTAATCGAGCATGGGGATTCCGATTCCAGCCCCCTAGCTCAAATTTTCAAAAAATCGATAAAATCGATAAAAGTAATGGACGATCTTGAAAACTAATATTGTATTCGTAAACTGCATGCTCGATTACCCCCCTGTGCAAACTCCCAGCCCCGCAGGTCAAACTTTACAAAAAAAGTCGATAAAATCGATAAAAGTAGTGGACGATCCTGAAAACTAATATTGTATTCGTAATCAGCATGCTCGATTACCCCCCTGTGCAAAATCCCAGCCTCGCATGTCAAAATTTACAAAAAATCGATAAAATCAATAAAAGTAATCGATAATTCTGAAAACTAATATTGTATTCGGAATCCCCATGCTCACTTCCCCTCCTGTGCCAACTCCTAGCCCTGTAGGTGAACTCTGCAAAAAAATCGATAAAAATCGGTAAAATCGACATCGATCGATAACGAAAAGTGGACTGTGACACCCGCCGGGGCCCGAAGTGTATGTGTGCCAAGTTTGGTCCGGATACGGCGGAGCCGGGTAAGCCAGCTAGTATAATATAGTTAGTAAAAATACTAATCATACGGATCCCCCTTTTGGATTTTAGAGAGCTACTTTTAAACGCTGATTCCTTTTCTCATCGTAGATGTTATTGTTATCAATAACATTGCCATTGCCGATTTATATCATTTCGTATGCTTTTAGACGTGGCGAAAGCTAAATGTTTGCAAACTCATTCAAAATTCTGAATAAGAATGCCAAATGGTGCATTTATTCCTCGTTCCATACCCGCCACGTGCTCCTTCTTCAATATGCATTCTATATTCAACACATAACCAATGCATTGTCAATTTTTGCCCTTTTCGCTTTAGGCCATTGAACGGTTATAGTTGCACTAAAGGTTTATACTAGTTTCAAAATGTGTAAATCTATTATAAACTTTCAAATCGTAGATCTATAAATGCGCCGGACCAAGTGTGATAGTTTGTTCGACATTCCTGGGTGTCGCTATCTGTTTACGCCATCTCCAGCGTGTAAATCGCGCATTTGCGAGATTTTGATCGTCTCAGTATGGATTTTCTTAGATTAAATTTCAAGTGCATAAACACATTTTTCTTTTTTTCTCACCAGAATTTCTCCAAGTTCCTTTCTTAGAAGTCTTTCACTTTTATTGTATGAATTAGTATTTGCTTTTTTATTTTAATTTTTTTTATTTTCTATTTTTTATTTTTTATTATTCTTATTTTTTTCTTATATTCTATCGTTTTGTTAATGGGCATTTGGCTGTTTTTTTCATTTAGTTAGACTAAAAAATATGCATGGATTAGAGAGATTCTAACTAGATTCATTTTGAAAAATACGTATTGATCGAAATCTGCCGAGAAAGTTCATCATAATGCATGTAACTTCTTTATTTTATTTATTGTCTTTCTTTTATTTTATTTATTGTCTTTCTACCCCCCTCCCTCTCTGGGCTCCACCTGTGCATATTTTTTCCCACAGTCATGAATTAATCTGAAAATACCTTCCTTTTTCAAAGGATCGCCCCTATATGACGGATAAAAGATTTTTTGAATAATTACACCTCCCCCCACTTTCGTCCTTTGTTTATCCTTATTCTTACCCTTGTGATTACTTCTGTGGTTTCAAAAAATTTGTCGAGCTGGATCTTTGATAAAAAGTTAAGAAGTAAGAAGTTTAAGAACCGCAGTAATGCACCCCCTGTAAAGGGAGGTTCTTACAAACTTCAATGGTGCCCTCTCCCTCCCTCCCCCCCCCCTCCGCGCTTGGAATAAAGTCTGATATTCGTCGGCTCATCAACTCATCTATCTGTACCAGCGAACCAGTAGTCTCAAAGGTGTAAATTTGCTGGCGCACTCGCTTCGGGACCCGCTAGTTTTCCCACTATCTGATGATTTTTGAATGCACCTTACGACTCTATATATATTAGATGGTGCATGATTTTTATGGTTTAACTTGCCAGAATATGTTATGTATACGGTATCTTTTTTTTATGGACACATACTGTAGCTTTTTAGTGAATTCGTAATTCTGACGATTCTTTATTATAGCATGATTCACAGCTCATGCAAAATGGTGCGCTTTAGCAGCGAGCAGTTCCAATGTTTTTCGGAAGCGTGATTATGTGATTGAGCCTTATGTGTAATGCTTTTACTTCTAATGATGATTTATTTACGTCATAAGTTGGCGAGAACTGTTCCCCATCGAGTTCTATCACGAATATTAGTATTTTTCTGTAAAAATGTTTGATTTTTTTCGTCAAACGTTCTATAATACTTTTCTTAATAATATCTTTGCGTCACTGAATGACGAGAACTGGTCTTCGACGAATCTCGGGTTGAAATATTAGTTTTTTTGTGATAGACTGTTATTTCCTTGTTAAGCTGTTTTGCAATCCTAACGATATGTTTGCGTCTTAATTCTGCGCAAACTGGTCCCGGACAAGTTCTACCTAGGGATACTTGAATTTTGTGTTGAAATGCTAGATTCCTCTTCTCTAGCTGCTCTGCAGCGCTTTTACTGGTAACATTTTTACTCATAGAGCGGCGAGAACTGGTCCCCTGTAATTTTTTTCCGAATGATAGCTTCATGTGTTAAAATGTTGGGATTTTCTTTGCCTCTGCAAGTCAGTCCCTCAGCTCAGGAAAAAATTGCAGCTTATTTGTCGATGAGTCTTTTGAAAAGTGCAACGAGATTGAATCAGCAGTAGTGAGGGTGACATGTTTTTCTCTTTCGCAACTCACCATTTATTTTCAACCTCATTTACTCTTCCTATTCGTGGGTTCCATGCTTTGTATTATTTTGATTGTGTAAGCATTTTTCTTTTTTTTGTATGAATAATATCGCGGTTATAGAGTTGTGCAAAAGACTTCTTTCACTCAAATTGAATTGCACTTTCTAAAAATTTCCAAAATTTTCTTACTATGTCTAATCTTTCTTGAATTTTTTTTCCGAAGTTTTAGGTCATAAGCCCTTTTAAATTTTGAAGGTCCATCGAAAAACATTTTCCCAAAGATTTTTTGAATTTTGGAGGTTTTTTTCTCTCCCTCCCCCCCCCCCCATCCATCCTCTCCACACTTCCTCTTCCACTTTATATGAAGCATACGTTGATTATATTCTGCAACTTCAAGAGAGGATAAGTGAAAAACTCTTCCCACCCCCTAGACTCATCTATATACATCTTGTGTATTCGTATGTACTCCTCATAAGTAAAAAGCAAACATACATCTGTAACTTTGAAAATGCTATTTTTAGATTAAAACTATTTTTATCGTCTTCATCCTAGTATTACTAAAAGCGATCTTCGTAGCTCGTTTTCGTCCCATATGGTGTAATTTACAAATGATCAAAGTAGCCAAGGAAAAAGAAATCAAAGCTTGTGCTACATTTAAAATGCGGAAAAATATTTATTTTGAAAATATGAGATTTGTACTTTTGAACTCTCAAGTTTTTTGTGCAGCATTTATTCCATAGAAATCCATGGCATTTGTTTTGGATCCACTGTTCTGCTTTTTCGCATCCTTTCCATTCAAGTACTTCTATTCCTACATTGGTAAAGTTCCATGTGCTCGTTCTTGTTACGGGACCATCTCTTCTCAAAGAAACCCAAAATCCTATGAAATACCTCGATTTTGTCTACGAATTTTCATGATTTGAACTAATCCATTGCTTCAGGTTTCCCGTACAGAACTGATGATGTCTGGATGAGGGTCGACTCGTGTACACATTGCGCTCATGATGAAAAGTGAAGGATTATTTTCTCATTTTTTAAAATCCCTTAGATCTAATTTTTTCATCTTAGTGGGTTACGAACTCGTCGTTCATTGCCATTCCGCTCGAGTAAGTTTTGGCTACGTCTCATACGACCTTGGAAATGGCGACATGTAAAAAGGAAAGTGCAAAGGTGCGTATAATGATCCCCATCTTGTTATGAAAGTACTGTAATTGATGAGAACTAGTCCCCACACGAGCTCCGGTTTTACAGATCCGGTAGCGAGCGATCGCGAAAGTTGATGTCCAGCAAAACATCCGTATGCCCTCCATCACCATCGTTGCCAAATTTACATAGTGCAACACAAACTGATCAAATTGAAACACTTACGCCTGTGATTTCGGGTCTTGGTCTTGGTAGGTTCTGTAAAAATGTTGCTTTGAGAGATTGAAGAGTTCCTTTTATCTCATTTGTGAGTTTTGTGTCAATAGTAGTTTGGGGAATGAGAAATTTTGTAGCGCAAATTTGCGTAATTTTATATTAGTGGGTGGAGCTTGCCACGGAGGTGAAGCTTGAATTACGAGGGCGGGGCCGGAGTTAGACTTGGTTAATGTTTTACGATCATTCATGCTTCTTCATACACTTCACACAAAAGTACCACAAAGTAAAGGCACCGTAGGCGGAGTTTGTCAGGAGAGGCGGGACCAGTTCAGAACGATTAGACACACTAACAAGATTGAGCTGACCGCCCGTACCATTGTGTGTCATTGTTCTCAAGGTGTCAGAAAGGAGAAATTGCGACAGATTTTCCAAAATGTTTGGGGGGGGGGGGGAAGGAGGCAAGAGTGCCTTTAACCAAGTATGAACAGAAAAGTATGCAAAATCAGCATCGTATTGGTAATTCGCTCACGCAGGTATGCCCGTTGCGGCGCGGTCCCAACTGATGGTTTTCACGAATAGAGAAATTGAAGGAGATATGCAGAGCGCAGAGTTTGAATTCAGTGTGCCTGCTGAAGCAGGGTTTAGAGTTGCTTGTGCTAGCGCCGTGTCAGGACCGTTCATAAGCGGTCGATCAATACCGGGCGCGTGCATGTGGGTTGCGAACGCGCTGACACCGCGCTGACGCTGGAACGGCGGTGGCACTTCATCGTATGGGCAGCTCTGGGCGCTGAGTTTGGCGGAAACATACAGAGTGTCAGTAATCTTTTCTCGTAGATTTTTCCTCATGAGAATATGTTGCGCACTTTTGCTAGTGAGCTAAGAATGTGTGAAGTAATTGACGATTTTGAAAAAAACCACTTTGCGCAGTTTTTTGGAAGAATGCCTACGTCTTTTTCAGCGTTGAATTGAGCTAATTTTACACACTCGCACATCCCCAAATGCATTTCGTCAAGCACTTCCCCTCAAATCTTTCGTATGTTGTCTTTTTTCTCTCTCTCCCTTGCAAAACTTGAAAGCTAATGAATTGCTTAGTAACCGCACACTCAAATGAAACTTCAAGTACAGCGACGTGTCATATGACAAATTTGTATTATCCTTTGGGTATCCTTTAGTTTTCTCTAAGTATTGACTATTCCGCGTTGCATCTGCGTCAATTGCGAAAAACGCGCCGCGCAATCAAACACTCGATGCGAAGATGGCAGATTCGCGAGAGAGAGAGAGATATTGTTAGCTTCATTGTTAGCTTACTGCGTTTGTCCACGATCTCCCTCAGCTCTCAAGTTTTTCTAGTAGAAAAATTGCGAAACTTTGCAGTCATAGCTTCAAAATGAACTTTTGTGTTTGTGACCCTACGGTGTTGACATCATTTGCGCGTAAAAATTGGTCATGGAGCAGGCAGTTTCAAGATTTGCACCCTGTTCTCATCTGTTACGTTCCTATACTCACAGAAACATCATAAACATCATAATGGCTGTCAATTCCAATGTATTATTTAGTCTAGTTACTTAATCTGTGCAATTGCACACAACATGCACATTGCGCGTAAATTTCGGAGTTCATCGCCCAAGACGATGCATATGCTGCAAATGGACGTTTTTTTTCAATTTTGCTTCGCTTTTTGTCACTTCAGTTGATAAGATGTTTATATATACAAGTCCTGGAATCTACAAAAATGGCAACCTAGGCTATTTCCGATGCGCAATTTGTGTAATATGTGCATTTGCACAACTATTCCAGTATAGACGAGTTAAGGATAGTAAGTGGCACTTACCTGTGGCGGCCCGAGACAAAAATTCTTCGGTGTAGGGCCGTAGCGGTCCCTTCCTTCTGGGGAAGTTTGAAAATATTTGTGGATCTGTAACCAAGAATTTTGTTTTCAAAACTAATACCATTTTGAAGATTTGTCTCCGTTTTGGCTAATACAAATAAAAACAACTAGCTCAATTTTACAACTCAATTTTTATTTTCAAAGTTTTAAGAACCAGTTTAGGGGGGGGGGGGGGGGAGAGAAGTGGGATGGATTTGCTTTCTCCCTTCCCCTCACATTAAAGCATTTCCAAGTAATGTCTTGCAGATCCTTCACATTCTTCTGCTCTCCTTGCCCAGTCCCTTTTCTCTCCCCCACCCCCCCTCCCCCCCCCCCCCACCTTCCCCTCCTCGCTGCTTTTACCCCGAATACCAGCTTTTCCTGCCATTCCGTAAAATTATTACCCACGATTGTTTATAGGCGTATAACTTAAACGTTACCCCCTATTCTGATGAATGCTTTCATGGCTTTGAGTGCAGCTGCACTTCCGTAGCCATAGTTCCTGCCTTTTTCAACAAGGAACTAAAAAAGATAATTTTGGAAAAAGGCCTGCTAGACTGCAGCAACGGAATAGCGATGAATTTTTTGTTCAATTTCATTTGCAAAGCATTTACTGGAATTAACAAGGGCTTAGAATTAGATACTGGAGTATAGATAGATGAATCAAATGGAAATTTTATGCAATTAGGTCTAATGTACTGGATTTTCTAATTTTCGGGCACTTAGGCCTCATGTTGCAGTAATTCGCATCAAAGGGGGTATTTCAGGAGTTCATCCTCAGCTTTAAAGAGGCCAAATTAGCATCGAAATTCTAGAGCTAGATAATTAGACTCTATGCTCAGGGTTTGATAACGGTCTTTTAGATTGAAATAGATTATATAGAAGTTTTCTACCGGAAATATGAAAACTTGGTCAAATCTAATATAAAAAGAATCGCTAGCTCAATTCAAAATTCTTCCAAAAGCGGGAAACCGCGGCGGGTCCCGAAGCGAACGCTCTTCTAAATAGCACCTTTAGATTACTGGTTCATTAGTTGTTTAGAGAATGTTTATCTTTACGAATGCTTCATTTTGCTTTGTATAAGAGGACTTATGAGGGGACAAAACCTAAAAGTCGATTAAAATAAAGGCTGCTGCATGACGAAGGCGCAATGGCGATATTAGGTGAGTGGGCCGACGCGCGCGTATCCTCACCGTTGTAGATTCCGCACCTCTTGCGCTCTGCGGCTAATATAGCCGCTTTAGCGCTCGAAGATATTGCGCCTTCGTCATGCAGCAGCCTATACTCAAATATAGTCATTCGTAGAATTCGACCGGCACCTTTCCTCTCAGTCAAAAAGAATAAGTCGTAGAATTACAATGAAACTTAGACTCAAACTAGTGAACCGGTGATCTAAAGGTGCTAGTTTGCAGGAGCGTTCGCTGTGGGACCCGCGCGGTTTCCCGCTAATTGATGATTTTTGAATCGCCGTTGCGATTCTTCATATATTAGATATATGCCTATATGCCATATTTGTTTTGAACACACACAACATTCAGAAAGTACACGATTTTTCCTTTCTAAGCAGTACTGAATCAACGGGTTTTGACATAGCATGTTTTTTCGAAAATTAAATGCAAATTTTATGAAATAACCTATCTCATCTTTTCTCTTACATTCAACTTATTTTTTAGCTATATATGGGAATCCGGTCTGCCACGCAGTCGTTTTCTTTCCCAGTCATAAAATACTTGTTTCTGAAGACTAACAGCTATGTTGTCATGATGCTATAAAACGAGTAATAACATTTATAGTTGTGCAATTTATGTCGTAAATATTGTTTTTGGGTCTCAAAAAACAAGCGAATAGATTGAAACATTGTTACGGATCTCTTACAAAGCAAAACCACTTTTCGCAAGTCCCCCACTCTTGAAATTTTTTTATTAGCGTCCAGAAATGTTTTCCAAGATGAAGTACCTTGCTATGCCATCTTTACCATCATGTCATGATGTTTACTGTCTGCCATGACGCGCGTCACACCTTGGTTTTTGATGTTTTGGGTAAGGTAAAGTTTACCTTTACCGTCATCGTCACTAACTGAACATGTGGAGATAGTCTCATGCGATTATTGGTGTAATATTGAATCATTTATGATGTTGTTAAAGAGGCGGGGAATGGGGAAGGTGCGGGTGCAATTGGAATCGGAATTACAATGTCTTTGGCTGATTTTGTCGGAAATTTGATTTGTTTTGTCGATTTTGAAAAAGTACAAAGCAGTCAGTCCTCTACTTATAATCAAAACATAGACTTCTAGGCTTCATAACCGTTTATTGATCATAATCGTTTATCTACTCACCCATTAAATTGTTTATTTATTCATTTATTTATTTGTCATTCATCCATTCATTCCACTCATTTTTTCATTCGTTCATTCATCCATTCATCCATTCGCTCTTTGAATTATTCATTTATTCATCTTTCTTTCCTTCCTTCTCTTTCTTTCTTTGACTCGTTCATTCTCATTCAATCATTCATTCACATTCATCCATTCATTTATCATTCATTCATTCGTTCAATCATACTTGTTCATTCAATCATTCATGTCATGCTTATTCATTCATCTTTCATTGATTCATTCAATCATTCATTCATTCATTTCACTCATTCATTCATTCTTCTCATTTTTTCATCCACTCATTCAGTTATTCAGTCAGTCATTCATTCCATTTATTTTTCACTTATTTTCTCATTCATTCATTCATTCAGCCACTCACTCTTTGATTCATTTACTCATCTTTCTTTTTTTTTCTTTGATTCCTTCCCTCCTTCATTCATTCATCCATTCCACTCATTTTTCATTCACTTATGTTTGCTTGATCGATTATTTATTCATCTTTCCTTCCTTCATTTTTTCTTTGTTTCTTTGATTCATTCATTCATTCAGCCATGCATTCAATTCATTCATTCATTCATTCATCCATTCATTCATTCATTCATTCATACATTCATTTTTCTCTTCCCATTCAATCATTCAACCTCTAATCATTCCTTTTCCACCCTTTATTAGACTAACTCGCTGTGCTCACACATTTCCTCCAGAAGGAGGGGGGGGGGGGGGGAGGCTGTGGCGGCGGAGAGTAAGGGAAGAGAGCTATCATTGTAAGATTTTTTGCAAGTGGGCGTGGCTTG